TCAGCTACATTTCCAAGATCTGTGTCTGAAGCGGTCCTCTGTGTGTAAAGGAAGCTTGGAGGGTTATGGGCTCTCCTTACTCCTCCTAGCACACATAAAGTCCCTCCCAGGACCGCAGGATGTCTTCTTCTCTCCACAGAGTGTTATCTTTGACCAGGGAACTCATTACACAGCAAATGAAGTGTGGCCATGGACTCATGCCCATGGATTTCATTGGTCTTACCTGATACTGCCTCACCTAGAAGAAGTTTGCCTGATAAAGCAATGGAATGACTCAGTTATTGTTGCCACTCAGAGTCAATACCCTTAAAGGATGGGGTTCTCTCTTATAGGATGCAGCATATGCTTTGAGTACTGTCTCCCTCATAGCCTGAATACAAGGGTCTGGGTGTCAAGGGGTGGCAGGGGTTCTTCTCTCTATTACACCTAAACCCATGTACACAATGTTTGATTCCCAGCCTCACAACTTTGAGCTCTGCTGGTTTAGAGGTCCTGGTTCCCAGGGAAAGAATGCTTCCATTAGAGAAGACAGCAGTGGATCCAATACATTGGAAGGTGAGACTGTCATCTGGCCGTTTTGGGCTCCTCACGCTACTGAACCAACAGGCAAAAAAGTGGATTACTCTATTTGCTGGGGTGATTGATCTCAGTTACCAAGGGGAAATTGGGTTACTGCTACACAGTGGGGCAGGAAGGCCATGTCTAGAATCCAGGGCATTCCCCTGGAGCACTTCTTAGAGCTTCCATGTCCAATAGTAAAAGCAGCAACAACAATAGCAAAAAAAAAAATAATAAAGCAGGATCATGTAGGATTTAGACCTTTCAGGAAGGAGGGTTTGGGTCACCTCACCAGATAAAGAACACCCAGCTGGAGGAAAAGGAAACGTGGAGTGAGTAATGGAAGAAGGAAATTAAATATATAAACTATGGCCTTGTGATCAACTAAAGAATGCAAATTGTAGTAGATATGTATATTTTCTTCTTCGCTTGTCTTTCTTCCTCCCTCCCTCCCTTACTTCCTTCCTTCTTCCTTCTTTCCTTCCTTTTTTTCTTTTCATGTATCTATCTATCTATCTACCACTTTCTTTTAATCTTGCCTCTTCTTTCCCTTTATTATTTTATATAAAGATTGTTGCTGGTGGTGGTCCTGATGTTTGTAAATAAAAAATTTGTCACGGGTGACCGGTTAGCTCAGTTGGTTAGAGCATCGTGCTGATAACACCAAGGTTGTGGGTTTGATCCCCGCATGGGCCCCTGTGAGCTGCACTCTCCCTAAAAGAGTCAACTATGCCATTGTAGCATGAAAGCAATGTGTAGCCAATGACCATGGCTGTTCCCCAATAAAATAAAATAAAAATAGAATTAAAAAAAAATTGTCAGTACTTTTCTGCTGTCCTTCCCCTCCCATCAAAACCAGATATTTTTGGTGCACTGCAGTTAGGAGACAGCAATAATTATTTGTTGAATGAGTATTAAAATATGGCTAAATATTCAAACAGATAGCCACAGATCAAGATTACAAAGAGGTATGTGAATGGATAGGCAAAGTGAATGACGTGCAAATTTAAGTTCATTCACTCAGAATGCAGATAATAAAAAATATTACCCATCATTTGGGTAATTCAAAACTAATCAACAGAACGGAGATCACAATTTCTAGACCTATTTATTCAGTCAATACTTTTCATTTAACGCATTGCCTAACATTGCAAGGGTTTATGTGATGAGATGGTTAACTGAACTCTTTACCCTTTTGCTCATTAGTTGTAACCAAATAGATAATTTTAAGAAAGGGGTAGGTTTTATTTTTCTCTTCCGCTTCTCCACATGACATTTCTGCACTAAAAAAGCTTTTTAAAAAATTTAAACCTTTTATTGAAAAGTATGTATGTATGGAAAGAACACAAATCATAAGCAAACAGCTCAATGAATTCTCAGATCAAGAAACACAAGGACCAGACCCCCAGAATCCCCGTCCTCGCTTCCAGTTTCTAACCCCCAAGGATAGCCACTGTCCTGACTTTTAATTGCATGCATTAGTTTTGCTTACTTTTGGACTTTGTATAAATGGAATTGTACAGGATTGTCTCTTGTGCATCTTTATCCTTTTGCTTAACATTATGTTTGTGAGAAACATCCATGCTGTGTGTAGGCTGCAGATGGTTCGTTCTTGTTGCTGTATAGTACTCTACTATGTGAGTAGGCCACCATTAATGTATTCATTCTAACTTTGATAGGTTTTGGATTGTTTCCAGCTTGTGACAATTATGAAATGTCCTGTTAGGAACATTCGAAGATATGTCTTTGGGAGGAAACATAGGAACTAATTTCTGTTGGGAGAGATATACCCAGGTACATCCATATCCTGTGTTCTGATGAGGGGCCCTGTGCAAACCAAAGTGCTCTTAGTTTAAACGGACTCAAACTCAACATGTACAACACCCCACTGTTGATTCTCACTCTCCATCTGTCTCTCTCTTTGGTAAACATCATCACCATTTACCCCATTCCTCAGGCCCAAACCTCGGCATCGTCTTCTCTTTTCTTCCCCTCACACCCTTCAACCAATGTATCAACAAGTCCTGTAAGCTCCACCAACAAAACCCATCCCGTATCCAATCCCTCTCACTACCTCTCTGCCACCCCCGTCATCATGCACCTGGACTGGTGCAGTAGCCACCTCACAGGTCCCAGCTTCGTCTTGCCAAGGGGATCCTTTTCAAATGTAAAGCATGTACACAAGAGGACATGCTGTAGGACTTCATTTATATGGAGTTGAAAACTAGGCAAAATTGATCTATGATAGAAGCCAGAGTAATGACTACCTCCGGGGTGGGAAAGTGCCTGTGAAGATGAGGGAGGCTTTGGGGGCAGGGTCTGGAAATGTCCTATACTGTATCATTATCTGGGCAGAGGTTACTTGGGGGTATACATATGGAAAAGTTACACTTCATGCATTTTACTATATGTGTTTTATATCTTAATGAAAAAGTTATAATATATGTAATTATATATAATTATGTATAAATATTATAATATATAACATTATACACTTGTGTACTATGTAATACCCATCATGTAATATGTATATTATATAAGTAATACATCTTACATATAATAAATAATAATATACAATTTTATATATGTAATTACGGTGGCTCTCTGCTATAAATCCTCCAATGGATTCTGCATTAGTTTGGGATTAACCAGAACAATAGAACTAGTAGGAGATATATATTTATTTATTTATTTATTTATTGAAAGGAATTGGCTTATGTGATTGTGGGCCCGGCCAGGCAAGTTTGAAATCTGTAGGGTAGGCTATCAGGAAGGGCAGGCTGGAACTCTTGGGCATGGGCTGAAGCTGCTATCCGCAGGCAGATTTCTTTTTCAGGAAACCTCAGCTCTGCTCTTAAGGCCTTTCAACTGACTGAGCAGGCCCCAGTGACGTAGTATAACCTCCCTCACTTAAAGTCAACTGACCATGGACCTTAATCACATCTACAAAATACCCTTCCCAGCAACACTGAAATTAGCATGTGAGTGAATAACGGACTGTCGCCTAGAAAAGTTAACACATCAGACTGACCATCCCAGCTTCAAACCACATTTGCAATAAAATCCAATCCGCTTCCCCCACTGAAAAGTGAGCTCCTCGAAGGTCGGGACATTTGCCTGTCTTGTATGTCCAACAACGATGTCACGGCACATAGTAGGTGCTCAGTAAATGTGATGTTGAATGACTAATGACACTCAGTTCCCCCTTCTATGTCTGAGTGTAGAGACATTTAGAGCCCTTCTCCCCTTGACCTCACCGGAGTCCAGCAGTGTTTCTGAGATGCCCTCCTCCCCGCCTGTTGAGGCAGAGTGAGAAGGTGTGGGGGTCCATTCTTGCTCTGTCACTTACTCTGAAAATCACTCTCTCACTGTGCCTTGGGCAACTTGTCTGCAAAATGGGGATGCAACTCCCCTTCCTGCTTGCCTCACTGGGTCGTTGGGAGGATCAAGTGGGGGAAAGGATGTGAAAGGACCTTGAAAAGTATGTGCACTAGAGGATGAAGTTCATGTGCTCGTGTAAGTGTCCTGTACGCCCTGGGCTCCTTCCTACCTCCAGCTGTTTGTCCAGGCTGGCCTCTCCATCTAGAATGCCCTTCCTCCTACCTCTCTTTGCCAACGCCTTTTTATCCTCTAGGAGTTTGCTTAAGGTTTACTTGTTCCTGGAAATCTCCCCCGATTTCCATAGGTTGGAGAATTTTGCCTGGTTCAGCTTTGCCTCAACTGTGTTTCTGTCAAATTAATCAAGAGCCATGTGTTTGGGAGGTGGGGTTGCCTAGCAGTTCACAGGGCTGGGAATCACATTCCTGACTTCTCCATGTCACTAGCTACACGAGCTCAAGCCAGTGCCTCCACCTCCCTTTGCTCCTCTGTCACACGGGGATTGTGACAATAGCCCACCTGTGCTGGGCGACTGTGGTATCCCAGGTACTCCATGTTCAGCTCATTAAATCCTGACCGCAACCACTGTGAAGGAAGTTTTCTCAGTATCGTAGGTTTTATTTTCACTTCCACCTTACGGGTGAGGAAACATAGGCAGAGAGGTTAAGTAACTTGCCCAAGGTTCCCCACAAGCTAACTGGTAGAGCTGGGGTTAGAACCCATGCAGCCTGGCTCCAGAGTCTGGGCTCCTAACTTTTAGGATATACTGCCTCTTGAGCTTCTCATAATGATACTAATAAAGACATTGTCATAGCTCCCTGCTGGAGCTGGTCCTAGGCTCAGCTCTGTAGGGAGGGCACAGGACAGGCTGCCATGGGGTGTTGGATTGGTGCTCAGCAAATATCTATTATCAGCTTTGCTCTTCACATGGGGCAGGATGTGGCTGTTGCTCCCCACCCTGGGACACTGGGAACCTTGTCCAATTTCTCCCAGGCCTGTTGAGCAGGTGAGGGCAAGTTGGCAGTAGGGAAGTGGGGGGTTGGGGGGAGGAGAGGAAGTGGGAGAGGGAGAGGGAGGGGGAGGGAAAGAGGGAGAGAGAGGGAGAGAAGTGTAACTCTTGCTTGACATCATTTTCCACATTACAAGGGCTGAAGCAGTGAGAGGGCGTGTGCATGCCCTGCCCCACCGTCCTGCTTATAAAGATGCTGGTGGAGCTCTCTGTGGGGAGAGCCCGAGAGGTCCTCCCAGAATGCCAACCAGCAGGGGAACCATGAGGAGCAGGGCCACGACATGGGGTGCTTGGGGAGGGGTGGAGGCTGATGCGATGGTGAAGGGCTGTGTCACGGAGTCCTTGTTGCAAAAGTGCCCATTACAGCAGGAGCCCTGGAGCTCGATGTTTGTCCAGGGGCTGGTGGTGCCCATGATGGTGCAGGAGGGCCGGTGGCAGGTTCTGATGTACACAGGGACTGAGAAATTGCCTGGGGGCAGTAAGCAAGGATCAGAACTGAGGGAGGCAGCTGCACCTGCACCTCCACCTCAGAGGCCGGGGCTATCACTGGGTCCTCAGATTAACTTCCAGTCTCCCTCCATTGACTGGGGCCATGTCATCTCCCCCTGCCTTCTCTCTCAGGCTAGAGCCATGCCTCCTCCCTCGGACCAGGGCAATGTCTCCTTCCTTCAAACCAGGGCCATGTCTCCTTGTCAGGCCTGCCTGGAGCCTCTACCCTCAGGCCTGACCTGCCTACACACCCCTTGCTCAAGCCCTCTTACCCTCCCAGCCCCTTACCGACGGTCATTTGGCCATTGCCCTGGAAGCAGACGCTTTGGTCTTGGTGACAATGGACCCGCCGGGACTTCTCCGGGGAGCAGTCCTCCGGGTGGATCCCCACGCAGGCGTAGCACTCAATGCCGCTGAGCGTCGGTGGGTCAGGCGCTGGCGAGAGAGCGTAGGTTCACACTCGGGCAATGCTTCTCAGGTACAGTTGTGCGGGTTGTGCACTGCACCAGGGCGCCCGACTAGCGCGACAAGGGGGCTGGAATCCTAGCGCGCAGGGAGGAGGCTCCCAGCAGAGGCCACGCCCCTCCCCGCCTTTTGCCCACCCCCTCTATCCGGCACACCTGGGCTCAGGTTTGGGAGGGCGTCATGGCTCATGAGATTGGCGTTGCACAAGTCGGTGCTGCAGCGGCGCAACACCGAGTAGTCGGGCGGCAGCGCGTTGCGGTTCGACTGCATCTGGCCGGTTGACGGGCCTGTCCAGCAGCCCTTCTGTACCATGGTCACGGAGGCACGGTACCCTGGGAGCGGGAGGAGGTGGAGCCTGGTGCGCTGCCTCCTCCCCATCCTTCCTCCTCCCCTCCCAGGCCCCTTCCTCTCCCTGTTACCTCGCTTCTCTGTCCAGTCTCAAGTCTCTCCCTCCTCCCGTCTCTCCTTCTCCACATCTCACTCCCCTCATCCACCCCTTTCTTTCTCTCCCTTCCCCTCCCTTCCTCCACCTCCCCACTCTATCCTTATCCTTCCCCTCCTCTTCTACCCAATACCCCCCAACCCCCTGACACCTCTCCCTCCCTCCCTCCATCTCTAATCTCTCATCCTTGTCCCAGTCCCCTACTCCTTTCTCCTTTGCACACCCTGCTCCTTGTTTCGGCACTTCCTGCCTCTCACCTGTGTCCAGGGACAAGACAGACTCAGAGCATCCGTGGAGACAGGAGACGTTGGGGAATTTCATGTTACTGAGGTCAAAGGGCCCGAAGTAGATGTGTTGAAAGCTGTAGCATTGCAGAGCTTGGGACACTGAGGGGAGGAACAGGGGTGGGGTGAGAGGAGCAGGCCAGGCAGGGGTGTGCCTGTTCCAGACACTCAGGACTCCACCCTGCAAATGACAGCCACACAGGCCAGGCTGTTCTGTGAGAGAAGACAGGCCTTGTTGCTTTGAGAGAGCCAATCTGCTGCTGACACTGGTCATGGCTGTGTCTACCTGTTGCCAGAGTAATGGCCTCTCTACACCTGCCAGTCCAGGGTTTTTTCCCTCAGGCTGGTCCATGTCTTGACCTTCTTCCAGAAAGCCCTCTAAGATTTAAATAAGGAGGAAGTGATTCACTGCTGCTCTGCCAGTCCCTCTCCCAACTAAACTCACAATATCCAGTAGTACTAAAAGGCCACCGTTGGAACACAGGCACTCCAGTATGGGCAGTGGGATGTGCAATCTCGTACTACAAATACGCATACCCAGCCAGCCCCACGATACCCACACAGAGCACTTAAACACTGACATAGATGCGAAAGAACAAAATGAACACAGGCTCGTGCAAATTTCACAGATAGACACAGAGTATCCTGAATACATGTATTCACACACAAAACAAGTACCACCTAGACCCTCCAATAGAACCCCGCCCCCCAGACTGAGGCATAGCATCTCACACATGCAAAATCATACAGACAGAAAAACGTGTGGATATGGACCCAATAACCCTACACCAAGAGACCCCGGAAGACAGGAAGTCATACCCGGAGAGAGACAGGTACAGACCCAAGTGTCACAGACACACAAGTAGAGAGACCACAATGATGCAAAGCTAGAGGCACACAAAGAAGAGACCCACAAAAACATACAATTTAAAATCATGGACAGATACAAGACACATAGAGACATGCAACACAGGTACACAGAGAGACAGACACACATCAAAATACCTAAACACATATATACACAGCGATAAATACAGGCCTACCAATCACAGGGACGCACAAAGACAGAGACACAGATATACAAAATTATACATGCGTCTCTTCTGTATAGAGAGTGAAGCTGAGAGATGAACAGACCCATAAAAGCCTTTGCTCAAACACCAAGACATCAAAACCTGGTACAGAGAAATACACACAGGCACAGAGACCCAAAGGACACGCTGACACATGGACACACACAGAAATCAGACTGCCTTCCATGGATGAGCGCGCGCACACACACACACACACACACACACACACACACACACACACAAAGTCGGCTGTGTGCAGACAGTCTCCTTCCCACTCCTCAATCCGTCTTTGTAACCACTTCAGTCCTGATGAGTATCTCCCTGTCCTTACCCAAACTGGGGGAAGAGGTTGCCTGAGGATGAGGCCAAGGTTCCCTGACAGTTTTGGAAAAAGACCCCATGGCTCCCCAGAAATACTCTTGAATGGGGGGTCCTGGGCAAGAAGGATGAGAAAGGTTGAAATGGCAGGAAGAGAGAAAATGACACCGGAGAAAATGACTGGTGGGGAAGACAATGAAGAGGACACAATCTCCAGGCCTCTGTCTGACCAAGGCCCAGGAGTCCAGGCCCCCAGCACCTCCTCCTTCATACTCAGGAGTTCAAACCCTCAGCCCTCCTCTCCCAGGACCCAGGAATCCAGGCCCCAGACCCCTCCTCCCTCAGACACAGGAGTCCAGACCACCACCACCCGGCCCTGCTGATCATTGGACTCAGACTCTGGGTACCTGTCAGGCAGAGCACAGACCCACAGAGGCAGCGCAGGATGGCTCTGGGGATTCCCATCGCCAGGTCGTGGAGCTGAGTGGAGACACCGTGGACAGCTCCTCCTGCTCTGATTTCTGCCAGGCTGGTTCTCCCTGCCAAGCCCCAGGCATCCCAGTGCCCCAGCCTGGCAGGATTCCTCCACCCCCGCCCTCCCTCTCTAGGGCTGGTCTCCTCCTAGATATTCATGATGGGGCCACGATGAGTCCTGGGCACTGAATGAGGAGGGGCTGGGGGCCTGGACTCCTGGGTCTGAGGGAGGAGGGGCCTAGGGGCCTGTAACCCTTAATTTGGGGGAGTTTGTGTTTTGCAGTCTCTCTTTCTACCCCTTCCCCAGCCTGTGTTCTAGTCTAAGGTGGGCATACATGCCCTTCTTGATCTCGCTTCTCTTCCTCCACCCCAACACACACGACCCACATACTCAGACACTCACAGCCTCTAATCCTGGAGCCATAACTCCAGACCCAGAGACACAAGCATCACCTCCTTGAAGCCTTCTTAGACATGTCCCCTCCTCACTCACTCCCCACCTGCACCTCAGCCCCAAGCACCTAGTCTCCCAGCCGTGGTCACCCTGGGATGGGCTATTGTCCGCCTCCCTCACCAGGCTGTGAACGCCTCAGAGGCCTCAGGGGGGATGTTTGCGATGTTGTAGACAGGGCATGCCCAAGAAGGTATTTAACAAATGTTTATTAGATTATTAAATGAATGAATTTAAAAAACTGGATGAAATAGAGACACAGGCAGACAAGCAGCGGGGCACACTGTCCCCCAGGACACAGACGGACTCATGCGGACACTCAGACCTTGGGCCAATGAGGACACCCAGATGGATGCCCCTGCAGGAGCTGGGGCAGAGACCCCAGGTCAATCCCTCCTGGCCACTTGGAAGAGCTGCCGGCTGGTATCACACCCACTCACTGTGCTGTGCAAGGTGGGCACCAGGCATGCGCAGAGACCTAGAGTCCCAGGCCCTTAGATGAATGGGAAAGAGTTGATATCATGTCAGTGACCAGGACAGCCTTAGTGGTCCCCTGAGCTTGACTAAATTTTACACGGGTTTCCTCCTGACGGTAGGCCCCGGACCTCGCTATTCTTAGAGCATTTCGTTTAGACAGCTTGCCATTGCAAATTCTTTCTCTGTCCCTGTGAAATGTGGGTAAATCAGCCTCTTGCCTGATTTATAACCCAGGAATATCTTTCTCAAGGACCCGGGAGCCATCCCTTGGAAATGTCATCATCAAGAAAGATAGTACCCCTGTCTCCCAGCTCCACTGGAGGGTAGGAGATGAACTTGAATAAGTGACAATGAGCAAACACAGAAGGCTTATTCTCATAGAGAAGAACATTTGCAAACCGAGGCAGGATTCAGCGTGCTGGGCACATCCTGTGGACCAAACTCCCTCCTGTCATTCTCCAGCACTTTTCCTCGAGCCCAACCAGCCCTTAAAAACTTTCCTTTCCACCTTTTGCTTCAGCAGAGTTGAGTTCAGCCTCTCTCCCCTATTGCCATAGTCTTAAGTAAAGTCTCCTGCGCCTGTTTAACTTTGGTGCAATTTTTCCTTGACAGCAGACACCCAGGCACTGTGGACACTCACCATTCTGGGCTCTCACAGGCATAGCTTCCCTCACCCACATCTTGCCAAATCCCTACCCCTCCCATCAGGCCTCACTTCCCTTGAAACTGTTTTGCATCCAAATTATACTTCCTGCTTCTTCTGTTCCTGCCCGGGGCTCTTTGTCCTCGGGGCTGGCCACAGAGGGGCAGGGTGAACCTAAGGGTCCCTGGAAAGTGAAGGCTGGCCGAGGAGGGAGGGTGGGTTTCCTCAAGCTGTTGTGGAAGGAGGAGGCGTTGAAGGTGTTTGCAGGGGTTCACAGATTCAGTGGAGGCTTGAAGAGTCAGCAGACCAGCCCATCACTGTGTGTGTGAGAAGGTGCGTTAGAGACACCGTGTGTGGCTGGGTGTGTGTCATTTTGACTCTGGTAACCTTCAGGTATTTTTGGAGGCTGTGAGATATCAGATGGCAAGCTCCCCATTGTAGGAGGTAATCAAGTGGAGACCCAGCAATCTAGGTCTTAGGATTTTGGCAGGGCTCTTGATCCATAGATGGCTATACAACATGAACTGCAAGCTCCCTACAAACCCAGAGATTCTTTTATTTTGGTAGTCACTTTTTAGTAATTAAAGTTTAGTAATCAAGTAATTAATTATTTAAGAGATTGAGGGAAAACGAAGGATGTTTTGTGGTAGCCATTTAGGTGCTATTAAAAAATTTTTTTTTACGGTAGATATTTTCAAATACACACAAATATACAAAGAATAATGAACCCACTACCTGGACTCAACAATTTTTAAGATATCGCCAGTCTCGGCTTATCTTTGCCCCTTTGGTGCTCATAAAGGCATTGAATTGGGTTCCTGCATTATTTTGTTCAAAATATTAATTTCACTTAAAACACTATTTAAAAGCAGATTATTTTCAAAATGTAACCTTGGCTTATGTTCTAAGATGCAAATCTTTATGAATGTCACGAACAATTTCTAAGAGGGTGTCGCCCACTCCCTCAAATTGAATTCTTAGTGCTATGATGCCACCAAATCAACTTTCTCTTTGCATACTGAACAGCTTCAAATTTATTTTCAATAAATGTATTTTCAATATATTTCAACATTTACTGGAAGCTTAAGAGCTGTTGTAGAGAGCATAAATGATATTTAAAAATTCAGTGGTAAAGAAAGA